TTAAATTTATAGTATTCGATTGCTAATCGGTACCCAATTATATAGGTTCAATGGAAAAAAATCTTTGCTGCATTCTTGATGGCACTAAAAACCTAAGGTTTGAAGAGCGCCCTGTTCCAAAACCCAAAAGTAATCAACTTTTGGTCCGTATTCATACAGTTGGCATCTGTGGGTCAGATGTTCATTTTTGGGAAGAAGGTCGTATAGGGCATTTCGTTGTTGAAGCGCCTCTTATACTAGGCCATGAATGTTGTGGAACAGTAGCTGGCATTGGCGAATCCGTCAAGGGATTTAAGATAGGTAACTGTTAGTTGAAATTTATTTCATTTGCTAAATTGGTAACTCAATATTTGACCAATAGCACAAAGACAATTTGTATGAAAAAAAATCGCAGATTATTTTAATGCCCAACTTCCGCTTCAAATTGCAAAAATTTGATTGCAAAAGTAGGCCTGGAGTGTAACTTCAGATATTTAAAAGAATTTTTCGACTTTCGCAGTTCCATTTGAATCAATTAGTCATATACATTTAGTTTATCGAATATTCTAAGAACATTTCCTAATATTAGCAACCATTAGTTTTAAAAGGCGTGAAAAGTGTAAGTTTGAAACAAGTACCGTCCAATTTCCCAATTATCTGACAAATTCTATGTTCTACTGATAATAACTTTCAATAAGTGTACGATTTTTGTTTAATAATTAAAATTTGCAGACTGCCTAAGGACAATTTAAACAGATTAAAGATTTTTCTTTCATTAGGTTTTTGACGAGAGAATTTTGAGCGTAAGTAGTCCTATGCGACGATAGTTTGGGACAACAGCCAAACTGCCAGCCGTATTTTATAAACGCAAAAACCCACAAAATGGATAATGCACTTCCGAATGCTCAAATAAAAAACCGTACATAAGTGAAATTAACTTACAACGTACCTATAAATTCCAGGTGACCGTGTTGCAATAGAGGTTGGATTGGGTTGTAGAGAGTGTGAGTTCTGTAAAAAAGGAAAATACAATCTCTGTGTTGAGTCTACCTTCTACGGCACTCCTCCAACCGATGGAGCACTGTGCAGATATGTAGTTCACGATTCAGACTTTTGCTTCAAGTTAGTCTTTTTTTTATCCATTTGCTTTCTTGCCAGATTATCTCCGCCGCTTTTGATTGGAACGCTGTGGGTTGCAGGCTTCCAGATAATGTCTCTTGGGAAGATGGCAGCTTTCTTGAGCCGCTTTCTGTTGCTGTTTACAGCTGTAAACGTGCAGGGGTTACTTTTGGTCAAAAGGTCTTGATTACGGGAGCTGGTAAGTTTCATTCATTTAAACGACTAAAACTGTCCTGCCCTCCAGCAGCAACTAAAAAGCTGAGCATCCAACTGAACATCCTTTGACTGTTGCTGTTAAAATAATTAAAGTATTTTTTGTTCAGACAATACAGCCGTATTGTCTATTTCCATAGCTAAACTTATCAAAAAGAAATACACAACTATAGACGCGTTCATTTCCCAATTTGGTGTGAAAATATTTTCCGCGCAGGGACTAAGATTATGGTAACATGGTCGGCTGGTAACCTGGGCAAGTGTTGATCTACGTTCATATTAAGGCGTTTTTACCAGCCCCATTTGTAGTGTTTTTGGTGACATTCTGTTCGTCGTCAAAATCCTGGCAACAAGCTGCTTGCTGAATTTATTTGAAATTTGGTTCCCTCGTTGACTTATTAGCCGGGATGTGTTGTCGTGTTCAATTTTTTAGTTTACTAGTTTTGTTACTTTTCGAGTAAAAATAACTTTTATTTGCCCGGGGACTTACTCTTTTTCTTGATTTTTAGGTTTTAGGAAGTGCTTATGTGAACATGTAAAATTATTGCTTATGTCGCAGCAGCAGCTTTTTAAATATTGCACTACTTTGGTAGAGAAATGGGTTTAATTTAAGTTTGGTTATTGTATTCTTTCTGTATAATGCGCAGTTGTGGTTCGTTTTTTCTAGGCAATACGTGTTTTTTCAAATTTTTCTTTAAAAAAGTTTATTTTAATTTTAACTACTTGCAAATACACTAGAAAATTATACAAATACTAGACTATTTACAGAGAGATTATTTACAAATGTGACCTAAGTCTGTGTAACGGAGGTTCAATCGCCGTTCTCCTGTTCCTTTTGTTATACTCTTTTTGCCCTACCCAATATTAGGTATTTCTCCTCGCTCACTTACCACATGGCTTACCCTATCATCCATAATACTTTTCTTCCCAAAGTTTTGTTTTTTTACAGATGGCTATCACGGCTGCAGTAGGAGAAGAATAAAAACAACATTCATGCGCATTTCTACTACAGTAATTACATAAGGAAGTAAACGTACTCCTATATTTTTTTGAATCTAACTGAAGGACGGCTGAAACGGAAGTTTAAAAAATTAGACGTGGAATACACTTCTGTTTCTACTCATCATCTCTGATCATTTTAGTTTAGTATTCGCTACTTTTTTAGCAGTACTTTTCGAACTTTCCTTATTTGCTACGGGACTGTATCCTTTTTTCTATCATTTCATGACCTCCTCTCTCAAAAACCTCTGTTGCCGTCTTCCTTTTTTTTTACATTTTCTTAAAGTACTCCTAATGTAGTTTATAGTTACCAAGAAAAAAAAACTAGGGTCCCCGGTCACTTAACAAAGTTATTATAATAAGAATGATAAAAAGTATATGTAAAAGTTGGAATTACTCTTACTTTTGGGCTAAAATTTCGGCTGACAAATAAATCATGAAATTGTAAACGCCAACAATCAAGACCTCGACAAATGATAAACAATAGCTGCCGCATCATTTACACAGGTTACCTAGAAGTTTAGCATACTTTTGCGGAGTTTATTCCGAATGTCTGCGCATTACACAGTGGCATTGCGCCAAAGCCGCTGTAACTTCTCCGAAATAAAGGACATCCGCTCCAAAAAAAATTTCACATCAAATTAGAAATGAATTCTCTAGACATTTTTTTAGACTGCTGCAAGAATCTTTAATACATTTTACTTTGGAATAATTTTTTGGTCTCCTAGTAAATTCCAATTAATTTTCCGATAAATTTACCCATTCGACTCCTCTAATTTAATCATTTGAAGGCTTTAAACATAAATTAGTAGTTCATGAAACTCTTCAAACCTCAAAGTTGCCAACTGAAGTAGGACTTCATACACGTTTCCTACAGGACCTATCGGCCTGATAACCTTACTAACAGTAAAAGCCGCCGGAATTTCAAAAGTCGTGGTCACAGATATAATAGACTGCCGTTTGGAAATGGCACAAGAATTAGGAGCCGACTTTACGTTAAATGTCAAAGACTTGTCTCCAACAGAGTCAGCAGAGAAAATTGCCAATATGCTAGGTTGCAAGCCAGACATAACTCTTGAGTGTACCGGGGCCGGATCTTGCATAGAAACTGGTCTTTTGGTAACGGTTTTTTTTTTCAAAGCTATGTTTAAGAACAACTGTAGAGAATAATCTTAAACTTTCCTAGGCGACGAAAAGTGGTGGACTCCTGATGTTGACAGGTTTAGGCAAACCAAGAACGGAGCTTCCAGTGATTGAAGCTGCTCTACGAGAAATTGATATTCGCGGCGTTCTTCGTTACGAGAACTGGTGTGTACAGTTCCTCTGATACTAAGCAACAACAGTTTTACTCCAACTGCATAATAATTTAGCAGTCGTAATATCTACACTTTTTCTCAGTCACAAGTAAAGTGAAAATTTCAGCTACCCGACAGCTCTAGAAATGGTTGCAAGTGGAGCTATCAAACTGGATAAGCTGACCAGAGCACACTACAAGCTTGAACAAGCAGCTGAAGCGTTCGAAAGGTTCTTGAAAGGTGATGTGGTAAAAGTGTTCATTCACTGTGACGACAAACCTTGATAGCTTTAAAATGTCACACCTACCTGGGTTCCTCTCTCTAGTAAAATAACTGTTCTCGTTACAACTACTTCTGCTTATCTGAGTAACAGCTCACTAAGCCCGGAAAATCCTTTCAAAACACCATCTTTCTTCCGGCTACTCAACAGGTGATGAAACTTAGACAAGTAAGAGCTCGATTTTCTCCCATGAACTTCAAAAATTTAGTAGTGCAGTAGTTATTTCGATGACTTATTACTAAAACGACTATTTTATGGACAGCACCAACATCGCTCGTTTGAAGTGTTTAATCATCATTTTTCATTACTGCAACAGCGGACATTAAAGGTGGGCGTGAATACTATTAAAATACAGAAGAAACTAATGTCAACGGCGAAAGAAACCACTGCTGCATGAGAGTTAGGAAAGAGCTAGAGAGAGCGTAATAGACAAATGAAAGACCACGAATACTTGGATGGTATCTTAATTCCCAAAGAACAACCATTTCTAATCGGGAGCCCAGACGTTAAATAACCCGCTGTCATAAATATAATTTTCAACCCAAACCATCATCTCGACCAACTTTTCTAAACAGTTAATCCAGTATGTTCCATAACAACTTAATTCAGTTACCTTTCCTAACCGCGCGCATTTGAACTAACTAGGGAGAACGCTCAACGTTCTCCTCCGCAACTGGCGTTAGTAAACCAGAAGCATTGTTCCAGACTGATGCGTAATCTAATCGCCTTCTACTACGTCTAAATGCCAGATTTTCAGAGCGCAAATTCCTGACATTTTGGTCGTTCTCTGCAGCTGAAGAGTGTTCTTCAACCTGAAAGGCAGTTAACCATTTTAAATACTAAATAAAACTCCATTTTCAAAATTTAACACGCTTAAGTCGCAAGAGAAGGAAGATGTTTTTAAAATTAATGGCAAGAAGCAAAGGCTTGCTTTTTTTCAAAAAAAAGTATTGGGAAACCAAATCCCAGAAAATTATGAAACAGAAGTTGACAAAATCTTAGATGGAAATGTAAAAATGAAGTCACCATGAGTCTACAATCTTTAATAAAAATTACCACCGCCTTGCTAAGAAGCTCAAGTAAAGGAAGAAAATACTGTTTAAAGTGAACGTTTATCCTCCGTATGTAAAGCCACTAACAGTCAACTTGATGACTTGATATATTAACACCAGTGCTATACAAAAGTAAATTAGGGGACTCACCTGTAACTTTTGAAATTTATCTTCCAAATCTAGCTTCTTGGAAGCGCTCCTTGTTAGCGGCCTTTGCAGTGCTAAACAGGCAGTCCGGTTGACCAAATCAGTAACTTCTTCATCCGGTTCTCTTCCCAGGGTGATACCAAGGTAGCTCTGCGAGAAAATAATTAAGATTGTTTATTACGTTCAAAAAACCTAAGCCAACTTTTAATCTTAAAACGTGCGGTTAACAGTTATTTTCTATTGTTTACAGTACACTTATATGTCAAGAAACTATACAATACCTATATAAATAACACAACTTTTGAGGTTATAAGTACAGAGAGTTAATAAGTGAATGTAAAACTGTGTTTGGAGAACCAAAATCATTTGAACGACCAGTACCTTAAGCTAGATAGTGTATTTACCTCAGACACCATTACTTATGAAAACTTAGGTTGCTTTCATAACAAATTCCTTCCTAACGGGAACACCCAGCAAAGCAACAGAATTTTCATAACCAGTAGAAATGAAACAGTAATCTCCTAACAACTTTTTAGTTGAAAAAATATTCCTTCATGGCACATGAGCAAGGAAAAGATGAAGAAAATGGGTACTTGAACCTTGTATTTACTGCCCCAAAGTAAACTAATACGGGCTTCAATTTTATTGCAAAAATTCTGTAGCGCGCGATAGACCTTCCTATAATCCTCAAAATCCTTAAAAAAATTAGTGTCATATTACTTCCAAAACAACGTTTTTTTATTATTATATTAAAGCCTTGTAAATAACCAATAATTTTAGAAAACCGTAACACGAAAAGTAAATGGAATTGCTCCAACCAAGCAACAAAAGTGCTGGTGAAAAAACATACTGATTTTATATCATCCATCCTCTCTAATAAGTGACGCATGAATACTGTGTCGCCCCAAACTTCAACATCCAGATTACATAAGCAATCACTAAGTACCTCATTGTCGTAATCACTACCCGTGAGCATCATTTCCAGAAGCAACTCACAAAGTACGGTATGAGCTGATATGACCTACAAGAACTTTATTTTAGCAAAAAAAAAAAAAAA